CATTTTCCTCACCTGCAAGATGGGCAGGCAGGCCCTCTTGGGCAGGGTTTCAGGGAGAAGCCAGTGAGGCCCTCGGAGAGTCCCCACCAGAGAACCGTGTCGCCACAAGCTAGCCCAAGCCTGGAAGCCCTCACACCCAAGCCCACTTCGCTTGCTTCCATTTCCTGGAACTAGTGGGTGACCCAAGAAGCGGAGATTCTGGGGCATTCTGGACTCCCTGCCAGCGCAAATGGAGGGCCCTGGAGGGGGTCGAAGGGGGAGGGCCCGCGGCTGCCTTTGTCTCCGCTGCAGCTCATGACTCAGGCTCCAGCTGCCCGTGGGAGGGAGGGGGCGCCCGGGCTCCTGAGGTCGCGGGGAGCGGCGAGATTGGGGGCGCTGCGAGCTGGGGCTCCCCATCCCCCACCTGCCCTCTCACAGCCCGCACCCACCCTGCCACACGGAGCTCTCCGCGTGGACCCCCACCATCAGTCGCCCCCTTTAGGACACCCAAAGGCCCGAGGGAAAGGCCTAGCAGAAGCCACACAGTGATTATCTGGGAAGGGTCCACCCGCTCGCTCGGGGGCACCACTCAGGGCAGCTGCGAGCCCCGGGGACGCGTCGTACACCCCATACAAGCACACCTGGCCCCAGAACCACAGTACTGCCGTCCCTTGCTTCCGGGGCCCGGCAGTGTCTGGCACCAGTGCGGAGGGCTGAGGCTTAGAGAGGTGGGGCTGTTGGTTTTGACCCCGGCCCCTCCAAGTTCCTCTGGCCACGCCCCTTCCACCGGCCCCGGATTGGGTTTCACTGGCCCCTCCCCTTACCATGGCCCCGCCTCTCCACACGGAGCGCGGTCTCCAATGGGCGCCCACAGGTCCGAACGCCCGGGGCCGGGCTCAGACAGACTTTCACCCATCCCGATGCCGCTGACACTGTCTGGGATCTGGGCAGATCCCCCCAGGCTGGGTCCCAGCAAGCGAGCTCCGGAGGACCACCAGCCTCCTGCTGGCCAGCCCCCAGGACAGGGTCTTTGCGGTCTGCCAGGGGGCACAGCGGGGGGGCCCTGGCTGGGTGAGGGCGAATTTGGCCTGACCCGCCCACAGCACAGCTTCCGACCCGACCTGTAGAGGAGACTGGGAAGGTGAGGCAGCTTGGCCAGCCCCCTCTCACTCCTTCTCTCTGCACCTTTGTGCCCGCCAGGTCCCCCAGACCAGAAGGTACTTTTTCTGCCACTGCCCAGCTGGGCAGACCCCTCCTCCCTGGGCCCAGGACCTAGTCACGTTCACTTGGGGACTTCCCTGTCCCACCATTATGTCTATCCCTGCAGGCTTGACCAGGAGCCTGTGTGTCCTTGGGGCTGGAAGCAGATTGCTGACCGGCCCTGGGAGCTCCCTTCCAGGGGCAGGGTTTGAGCATTGGGGCCTCTGGAGGCACTCCAGGGGGGTGAGGTGGAGAACCTAGTTGCCCCACGACTTCTGTACCCTCCCAAGAGGGCTAGCCTGCCCTCAGGAGCCAAGCAGACAGAGACACAGGCCATGAGAGATGGTACCAGCTTTGAGTGGTAGTGCGCTGTGGGGGTGGGGATGATGTCTGCAGGAGATGGGGCAGGCCCCGCCTCCTGGGCCCCACCAGCTGGGCATCCCCACCGGTACCCTGTGTCCCCAGCCCAGAGTGGCCGCAGGAAGTGAAAAATGCCTGTAGGCAGCCAGAGGGGAACTGAAACTTCAAACAGCCCCCGCCCCTACCTGCTTGGGCCCTGGGGACCTCAGGGAAAGCAGTCCCTACCCCCCACCCCACCCCCCACCAGTTGGCCAGAAAACCTGGCTCCAATCCAGGCTGGGGGAGGGGCCTATATCCCGCCAAGTTCTGCCAGAGTCTCCCCTGTATCTCTCCTGCCCCAGAGTGGTGGTGAAAGAAGGGTGGGGCCTAGGCCGGCCCAGAGAATGGGTCACCCTCCTTGTTCACTGCCTTGGGGACAGCAGGGCGGCCCCCCAATGGCTGACTGCTCACGGAGAAAGTTTGCACATCTGAGGAACCTCCTGTGCAGAGTGCTGACAGACAGGAGAAAACTCCACGACAAACGTGACGGTCAAAGTACAAGCTCATAGAATGACTGTAATTACGTAGAAAATAACCCCCAAGACACAGGTGGCTGGGGTGGCCCGATTAGAAGTTATTTCTGTAGGCCCCCCCACTCGTGGGCTCCACTCTGGAATTTTCCAAGTTGTCTACCAAATACCTGTCTTCATTTTTAATAAGAAGTATTCTTTTTTTAAACAAGCACAAACACACCCCAGCCTGGCTACTGCTGGGAAAGTCCAGTTGAGGCAGGCCCTGGTGGTGAAGGCTCCTTAGAAAATAACCCACTGGACAGGAGAGGCCGTGCCCACCCTTAACCCCACCCCCCACCCCCAATGCCCTGGTCTCTGCACCTGGTTCTTCGCAAAAGAAAGTCCCTTCCATTGTTTGCTGGGCAATGCTGACCACAAGTCCTTGCCCTCTCTGGGCCTCAGTGTCCTTCTCTGTAAAATGGGTGAGGGTGAACTCCCTAGGGTCTCTTGCAGACTTCTGAGGCCAGGAGAATATTACCTTCAACCCCTGCCCCCCTACTTTTCAGAGGAGGAAACTGAGGCCCAGGAAGTTTGGTGCCAGCCAGGGCTTCAACGGGGCCAAAGTTTGCATGTCTGGGTCTCAGGGGTTTTACCCACTCATTTCACCTCCAGGGGTCAGGCGGACAGGGATGGAAAAGGTGAAGTGTCAGAGAGAACAAGAATAAGTGGTGGCCAGGGACAGCTTAGACTCCCTCACTCAGGCACAAGGAAGGAGGCGAACAGCTGGCCCATTCTGGACCTGCACCCCCTCATCCTCTGCCTGTCACTTGACCTCACCCCAGCTACCTGGCTCCCAAGGGCCAGGGTCTCTGAGAGGGTTGAGGAAGGAAGTGACTGGGCAGAAACGTGGCAATGAGCGCTAAGGTCCTGGGGTTCCATCTGCTGCTGGCCGCTGACCAAGCTAGAAAGCAGGTAAGCAGGAAGCTAGCTGTCTGCCAGGCAGCTCTGGTGGGCAAGTCAGGGAGAAGCGGGCAGAGACCATTGGCTGCAAGTCTGGGATATAGCTCCGCTCGACAAGGTGGGACGGAGAATCTTTTTACAATTTATTTTGTTGTGGTAGAGACTATACACAGCAAACCAAACACACACCAACACCGCTGTTTCTACCAGTCACCATTTAGTGACACAGAATATTCTTTCAGGTGTACAACCATGTCCACCCTCCTTTTGTGGGTGGTTCCTCCCTATTTACATAAACTCCCTGCCCCCTAAGCTTCCTGTCGAATCTTCCTAGTAGTTGTCCATTTGCTCCTGTGTAGACAGTTCTTAGAAGAGCAGGGTGCTCACGGCTGTCACTCTTTACCAGTGACGTGTGGTTCTCAGACGACTTCAGGGGATCTTTTTGGTTCAAGGGTTAAAGAGAATCTTTGGGCAATGCTTTCAGGGGTTCATCCAGATTTCGTGGCTCCAAGAAGTCTGTAGAGGATCCTCCATGAGGATCTGAAATTCTGGTCTGCATTTCCCTGCTTTTGATCATCAGGATTTTTTTCTTAAATCTTTGATCAAAACGCACAGCTCCATTTTCTGACTCCCAGTCCAGTGCTCCTTCAAAGGATGCTAAGCCTTGGCAACTTCCAAAGAAGGGTAGAGTCCAGATCAGGAGGTTGGAGCCTATGTCGGAGGGCAAGCAGGAGAGGCATTGGCTGACAATGCACAGTGGGGTGTCCAGAGGGGACAGTGATGGTTTGGGCCTAGGCCCTAGTAGGGCCAGAGGCAGCAATGCCAGAGGAACAGCTCCCACTAGAATAGTGGGGTAACCCTCAGGGCCGCGGTGGAATAGCCGAGTGACCTCAGATTCAGGGCTGGTGCTTGGGATAGGCCTCAGAAAGAGTGGAGCTTGAGGGACATGGGACAGAGCAGGTTTGAGGTCACGGGTCTGTGCTGGGTAGGTCTTTGAGGTCCTGGACTCCAACATCTGGACCGTGGCTTAGAGTCAGCTGGGACTCAGGGTGTTCTCTGAGGACAGTGCTTGCCCTCACCATAGTCTCTGCACCCGGCCCCAGAGGCTGCGTGGACTTCCAGGCGCAGGCTTATGGTTCTGGAAGTTGCCCGGCTGAAATACTGAAACACTGGCCGCCATTGAGTCAAGGTCGAGTCATAGAGACCCGCTGTGGGTTTCCAGGACTGTAATGTTTTACGGGAGTAGAAAGCCCAGTCTTTCTCCCAAGGAGCTGATGGTGGCTTTGAACTTCCGACCACGTGGATCACAACCCACTGTATAACTGCTACACCACAGGTTGGGCTGAGCCCCTGGTCAACCCCAGGATACAGATACCTGAGAATCAACACAGTCCTGGCTACTTTCCATCCCCAAATCCCACAGCAAACGAAGTTCACGACTCCTTGCCTCCCCTTTGCATCCATTCAAAAGCAGGAGACAGAGCTCTGAGAACTGGTGTCAAGAGACACGAGACCTACTTACAGATAGGAGTCCCCCGGTGGCGCAGAGGGTTAAGGACTTGACTGCCAAGTGCAAGGCTAGAAGTTTTCAGCCAACCGGAGGGGCCTTCAGAGGGCTCTTGGAAGCTGTGGGAACCGAAGGACCCCTTCCCTACTCTGCAGCACACGGAGCTGTACAGAGTCAGGGTCAAGTTGACAGGCAGCTGGTTTGGGTTTTTTGATTGGGTTGCAAGCTTAACTGCTGGCCATCTTATCTCTTATCTTCATTACGGTCACCCTGGCAGGGCTGTCGAAGATGGTACAGTCCGAAGCCCCGCGCCAACACAGGAGTGGTCCCTGCAGGCGCACCCCTGGTGTGCAGTGTCTGTGGTTCGCCAGGGCTCAGCAGGAGGGCATCCTGGCTCCCAGGAAGGGGCAGAGGGGTGCTGGGGTGAAGTGCTCATTCAACTTCTCCCCCTTCCTGGCTGGCAACCCACAGGGAGGGCAGGGCGCCCTCCTGCCCCTCCATGGCTACAGCTGCTCAGGGCCAGCTGTCTTGGTGGTCACCAGCTCGGTGGAGCCCAGCTCGGTGGCCGGCACGGGGACACTGTGGCCAGGTGGGGTGGTGTCTGGGTCTTCAGGTGGAGGCCAAACAGGGGCTGTGGCATTGGTGGGTCCAAGGGAGAGGACGATGACATGGTCCAGGGGCTCTGTGGGCCAGGAAATGATGGGTGGGGAGCAGTTAGGGCTGGGTCACAACCTCTCCCACACTCCAGGTTCTAGAATCTTTTTCTGGGCACCCCTCAGACCCAAGAAGGATACAGGAAGTGTGAGTGTGGCAGGGGGTGGGGGGTCCAGAAGGCCTGGAGAGTGGGGAGTGCTGACAAGACAGACAGGAAGTTGGGGAGCCCAGGCTGGGGGTACCGCAGAGATGCTTGACCTTTCAGGGCAGGCTGACAGCTGTCTCTTCCTCAGATGGGATGGGGACAGAGCTGTGGCTCTCACTGGGACTAGGGTCTCAGCGGTAGGCAAGACTGTGTCTCCCCCTCAGTCCTGCAAGCTCTTACCCTGAACCAGCACCTCCCTCCCCTTCAGACTTCCTCCACTCCCAGGGCCCTG